TTTTCTGCAGAAACAAAAAATACTTTGTTGGCTACAGGTTTATAAACGATTATTATTACAAATCTGTTGAATTTGATTTTATTTAGATTAGTTGTTCAGCCTTAGCATCTTCATTCTGATAACATCTGGTGGTAAACCTTTACAACCTTTTTTTAAATTGTCAAAATTGCACTGTTTTCTTTAGATTGATGATTACAGTATGGTTCGATTCCTGCCCTTTGATCGCACTGATGAGGAGGGCATCAACATTGTCCTGCAGCACATTGATTTCTCCATACAGTATGGTGAAGACCTGGAGTTTAAAGAGCCCAAGGTTTGCGCATAAGGCTACTTTCAACTACTGTATACATTTATAAAAACCTGTTTATTTTTTAAATTAAAAGTTGTTTTAGATTTAGAACTACACAAAGTTATCAATTTAAACTTCTGTTTTCCATTCTGTTTTCTCTTTTCTCTAGGAATTGAATGAGGAACCCAGTAACACGAATTTTGATGAGTTCTTCCAAGGCACAGCAGATTCTTGAAATCCCACACGAAGAGAGACTACATTTATGTGTTCCACTAAATAAGAGTTTACTAAATAAGAGTTTCATTTATTTAAGCAATATTCTGTCATGTTCATAATATCATTGATTGGAGGTTGCCGGAAACCTGTGCTGTGTCTCGATCTTCTTAGCAGAGTTTTATCAAATGTAATCTTGTTTTTTTTTAGAATTGTCTATTTATTTTTGCAATAAAAATAAGGAAATGACAATGTGGTTTTAATTTTTTTTTATTCAGTCCTTACATATGTCTCAAAACGTTACAAATTAGGGAAACGTTAACCAGGCTATGCCATAGTGTGTTCAAGTGTTGTTCAATAGTGGGATGTTAATCTTTTATATTTGGCCATCCAGTCTTGATTACATCCTTGTTAAAAATCTTATGCACTTATGTTGTCTAGATAAGCAGCTCGCAAGGTTTTGACTGCCGTGACGTTAAAATGGGTTGGACATCTTTTAATGGCACACATATTTAATAAGATTTTCAAAAGAAATGTTGTGGTGGAAAAAAGTAAAGCAGCAAAGCTGTTGTTCTTTGGCGCCCCCTAGTGGTTATGACGGGATACTGTACTGGAAACTTCCTGTATCTGTGTGTAGGGTGGGACAGCGGAAGCGGCGGGTTGCACAGCTCTGACATTTTCATTTTTGCCTGCTAGGTTTGGGACATCGTACCAAAATGCCGGTAAGAAATATTTAAACGTTATGATTAAAACGATATACGCAATTGTTTTCTTTGTGAGCAGCTGCTGTACCGCGTTTTATATCTGGAGCGAACAAGAAAGATATTTCAGCATTAGCCACAGCGCTAACCTACACATCATCTTTCTCTAGCTATTTTTCTACAAATGTAACACTTTTACAAAGACATTATGTATTGTTCTTTATGCTTTTATTGCCAACTATACATGTATATGGAAGTATCAGAAATGTGTTGCGTGAACAGGTTTGTTGCATTTGTTTTTGATGCTAACAACTGGATTTCCTCATTTGCATTCAGTGCAATGAAAACTGACGGATTCTCTTCAAATATCGGTTATTTAAAATGAAAAGAAATATATATAATTTGCTATATTACAAAAGTAATTATGTATGGCTTTGATTTTCTCCCATTCTTCAGGCATACCACTCAAGCCTGATGGACACGGACACCAAACTGGTGGGGAATATGGCGTTATTGCCCCTTAAAACACAGTTTAAGGGTCCTGCTCCTAAAGAAAGTAAGAAAGTTTGCTTGATTCTATGCAGTACTGTGAGATCTGAGACGTGTGAGATTCTTCCTTAAATGGCATTATTAGTAAAGCCTATTTGACAAACCAGCTGTTCCTTCCTCTTTCCATATTCAGCCAAAGACACAGATACTATCGATGAGGCCATCTACTACTTCAAAGCCAATGTTTTCTTCAAGAACTATGAAATTAAGGTAAGTAGTGAATGTCTTTACAGGAGCCTAGAAAAATGTACGTGGCGTGCCTTAACACGAATTCATAGTTCTGTACTGAGAGAAGAATAAAAGTCCTCCCTGTATACACATATTTTTGAGTCTTTTTACCTCAAACACTCTGTTTAATATCAGATTTTCATTCGTTTAAATATATATATATATATATATATATATATATATATATATAGACTCTTATATGCACTTTAAAATTGGCATGCAATGGAATTTGCAATAGTCTTTAGTTCCCTGATGTATATCCGAGTGAAACTGCTTCTTGAGGAAGAATTTAGGGCGGGATTTGATTTTGGCCATCGCGAATTGATTGGATGGTTGTGGTTTGCTATTGGTGATGTCATGTGAGTGACAGGTCACTGTACTTATTTTCCTGTTTATTACTGTGAAGCTGCTTTGACAATATCTGTTTTGCATAAAGCGGCTTATTTGCAGTATATAAATAGATAAAATATGTATTTCTTTAATTTTGATAGAATGAGGCTGATCGGACTTTGATCTACATCACTCTTTACATCTCTGAGTGCCTCAAGAAGCTCCAAAAGGTAACTATCGAAAAAAAAAAAAAAAACATATGTACCTGCTATTTCATGGTATCATTAATCATTTGTTAGGTATTGTTGGTTTTTCTTATAGCTAATGCTTCATAAGTACTCCAAGTAACTCCAATCTTATATATGATTTCTAGTGCAGTTCAAGGAGCCAAGGAGAGAAGGAGATGTACACGCTGGGAATTACCAATTTCCCCATCCCTGGAGAACCTGGCTTCCCTCTGAATGCAATGTATGCTAAACCTTCCAACAAACAGGAGGAAGGTATGGCAAAACAAAGTCAAAACTTTACTGAGTCTGATTCATTTGCACATCCACTAAGACTTTCTCTATGATAGGTTTATTATAAGTGTTATCGCCGAATTGATCAGATACCATCTTTTCCTTTTTGACAGAAACGATGAGGGCTTACCTGCAGCAAATCCGACAGGAGACGGGACTGAGATTGTGTGACCGTGTGTTCGACCCTCAGACAGACAAACCAAGCAAGGTGAGACTGGCTGTGTCCGAAATCTCCACTCAAACCATTATTCCCTACTCCATATGTAGGGGGTAGGGAGTAGAGCACTATATAGTGAGCTCACCAGCATAATAGAAACACCCCTTTGAGACACTACTCGATCATCTCTCAGCGCCGTTGATTACGTCATTGCTGTCGCCCGTCCGTCTTTTTTACGATCGCCGCAATGCATGATGGTATGTAGGGCTTGGGTTAGTGACCATCGGTTGTACACTACTTTTCAAAATGCATTCTGGGATACATTGAGTGGACTATATAGGGTATAATAATCATCACTATACATTCGGACAGCACCACAAAATGGTGAGCTCATATAGCCCACTAAATAGTGAGTAGTGGGAGATTTCGGACACAGCCTATATTTAATATTATCAGTCAAATCAAGTAATAAAAAAACTTTTTTCTTCTTTGCATTGACAATTGTTTGAATTATAATTAAGCACATTTTGTTACTGTAATGCAAAAATAAAGAGAAAATTGTTATATAAAATAGTTTTTATATGTATATACATTATTAATTTATCCATTTTCTTGGATGTTTCAAATTCATGTTATTTCAATAATTTCTAATCAAGAGATGCTGATAATCATTCAAATGTCTTTGGTCTTCAGTGGTGGGTGTGCTTTGTGAAGAAACAGTTCATGAACAAAAGTCTGTCTGCACCTGGCCAGTAACAAACAACTCAGGATCTCTCTGTGTACTTCTGCGTGGGATGTGGATGGATCCGTTTTTGTTTTGTTTTTTTCTTTAATGTGTATGCGAGCGTGTTTACTTTGATTCTGAAAAAAAGAGATTTTTTTTACTTGTGATTCCTGCCTGTCATGGAAAGCAGGAGCCGATCAAATAAAAACATATATTAAAGAGAAACAGCATCTCTCGTCATTGAATGAGGACGTACTACTAATACACTTGGTGCCAGATTGCTTAGTAATATTTACATTGGTATTAGTGCCATAATATTATATTATTGCTGTCAAATCGATTAATCGCAAAAAAAATTATATATATATTTATATATATTTATAATTCCAAACATTTCCACATACGTTGCCCTACAGCGGCAACACGGCAATGTTTGATATTGAATGAATCCGCCTAATGAATGACTTTATTTATAGTATTCATTATTATTTCAAATTACCTTATATTTGAGCTCATTTGTTTTTAGCACCTTTGTTATGTGCTTTTTTTATAGTTTTAACTTTTCAATTCAGTTTTAATCATAGTACTTTAGTACAAAATTATTTGTTAGTTGCCAACTTTTCCAATTTCGATTGGTTTTCAGAGTTTTTTTTTTCGGAGTTTATCTAATATTCTTTTTTTATTTCAATTAACAATTTTCATTTTAGTATATTATAGTATTTATTCATATTTTGAAATGGCTTTTTGTAGTTTTCATTTAGGAAATTGTCTAAGTTTATTTTAATATTCCTATTTAGTTTTACATTTATTTCATTTTAGTACGTCAACTTAAATGTGTTCCAGTTGTAAAGATAAATTTCTGTAAGTTTCCATCTAATATTTAGATTTATTTTAAATGAATAAACTTTAAATAGTTTATTCATTTAATAGTTTATCTACTTTTAATAGTTTTAGTTAACAAATACAACACTGCTTGACTATGTAGTGAGTTCATAATAATGCTTTTATTTATCTGAACAAAATGATTGCTCCAGAAAGAAATGACATTCACATGGTGCTCAAATCAATATGCCACCAAGGACCATATAAACTGGAGTAACGCTGTGGCGTTTCACACCACTGATTCAAATCAAAACGTGGCCGAGACCAACCGAAAATGTAACTCTTATTGCTTAATATTGTTTTCTGTCTTTTGAATAAAAAAATTACATTTGCATTAGTACACAAAACCAGACAAATCTCACTCTGATAAGATGTGTTGCCAATAATCTTATGCACCCTTAGAACTTACGACTGACATAAGACAAACAACAGGAACAAAGGTAAGACTGAGAATAAAACTAAAGGACAAACAATATCTAAGACAAATACTACATTTTAATGAGCAAGTACATGATGGGGCCTTCAGGAACAGAAGAGTGAATAGGATACAGTCATAAATGAGATTACAAAACTACATGTGGGGGGTGAGGACATCACAAAACATGACTGATAGAGCTATGGTACAATACATATTTACATACACAAAAAATACAGCTTTTGAGCTCACCATTTATACAAAATATATTCTCTGTCTCATGCAAATATGTGACTTTTTGGTTAAGCCAAAAGAGAATTCCAGCTCAAATACTGAATATACGTTGAGATGGACTTGACATCACTGTATACAATTTTCCTTTTTGATAGGAGAACAACTTAAGGCAGCATAGAAAGAGATGGCCCTTTGAGAGACATCTGCGGTATTGTTTTTTTAAGGGAACAGGGCTGTCCCGACATGTCAGCGAGGAGGAAAATCAGCATCGATTCTGACCGTCAGCCTCTAATAGTACCATAAACGCACAAAACACGCCAGAATTGCATAAAAGACTGTTCAAAATTGATGGCTCAGTGGCAGATAAAAAAGCGAGTCAAAACACAAGTGTCATGCAGTACATTTCATCATGATTAAGATAATAAATAATTCAGACACGCTAAAGGGTGGGGGGAGGAAAAAATAGACATTAACAAAACGTGCTATAACTCACACATTCAGATAAAAAAAATAATAATAATTATCCAACGGTGGCTTTGCTCTGATATCCCTAACTGGTGCTACCCCAAATAACTGGTGAATAAAATAAAGATGATCGGATCCCCTATTAAGGTTTGTAATTCCCATATCTAGGGGGGCTGGTTAAAATTCAGTTTCTGTGAATGAAGCATTGTGATGAAAAATGTGATCCAACACATCAGTTAAACCTATTCAATTGATATGAGCTTGTAATGGTGTTTTAAAATCAATGCAGACATAAATCCTGAAACGTCTGTCTCTGACCTCAAGATATGGAGATGGGAACTGATAATAATATAAGTACTAACAAAAGTAACCGTGATGGTGCGTCTAGTCGAATGCCATCTCTTGGCTTTTCCTCACGCAGCGGGCGACTTTTCTCTTGAACTCACCGTTGGGATCCTCTCTCCATTCTTTCTGCAAGCCGAACACAAATGTGAAGGTTTTAATTATTGCTTCAGAAGAACACAAACATGAACCGCCCATTTTATTGAATTAAATTATTGAGAAATTATTGCATTTATCAATGGAATTTTTTTCAGTCAGGACAAGGAATCTTAATTGGCCATCCTTTTGTGCTATTAAAGGGATAGTTCAAAATTAATATTGTGTCATCACTTACTCTCAAGTTGTTTCAAACCTGTTTGAGCTTCTTCAGTTGAACACAAGAATAACAATAATAATAATAGTAATAATAAAAAATACTAAGGAAGTCAATGGGTGGCGTCAACTGTCTGGTTACCACATAACTTATTTTGTGTTCAAAATAAAACTTATTTTGTGTTCAAGAATCTGAGTTTAAGGGTGAGTTATAAAACATGATTCAGTTATCAAAAATCACTAAACTTACAGCTGCGTCCACATTGGCTGGCGAGTCACCGTTAGGGTCAGCTAACATGGAGATCACACTAATCATGATGGTCTCTACGGTGTGGATGGGCAGCCAACGCTCCTCGGGTTTCTCATAACCAAATTTGTCCTCTCCTGGCTCATGTAGGATTGAAATGCACACATCTCCGTTCTTCGCAACTGATTAAGAGATGAAGAATAATATCAGTGTCAGTTCTACAGGTGTTTTCACCAAAACTGACATGCACTCACCATTAGGATGCCAAATCTCCGTAATAAACTTCATCTTCGGTGGTCGAAGTGGGTAATCGTGAGGGAAATTGAGATGCGCCTTAAAAAATCCACCTTCGCTATAAATCAAAAACAGAAACTCGGTATACGATTTTGTTGGAAAAGATTTAAGCTTTGCAGGAGATTAGATTAGTAAACTGGCCACTCTCACAGCTAAAGCCAAGCGCCACATGCTTGGTAACAGGATGGATTACTTACAATAATGTGTCTTGAGGGCCGATCACAACAACCTCCCACTGATAGATATCATCATCATCAATCAGACCAGCAGAAAAACCTTCCACTGGGTTTTTGTTGAGCTCTGTAAGATATCCCCAATATTGGAAATTAGATTACATTTTCAGTCATCTAATGCTGACTTGAAGTTAACCTTTAAGAACACTAATAATCTTGCAAATGTCATGTCTAGTTTTCATACTGTACCTTAGTAATGTCGTAATCACTTGAAAAAAACGATTGGTTTTAATATGTAGGAATACAGATGTAAAGATTGATCTAAATATCGTAATGTAACGTTACTAATATACATCTAACTGTATTTAATAAGACCAAAACCTAAATGTGTTGTATCGTTTCCTACTTTGCAGGCCAACAATTTGTATACTGCATACTAACACGTGTCAACTGATAATATATCCTACAACTTAATTTTTTTACAATTCATTACCATTCTTTTGAAATATATCAAATTCCATGTTTACAACTAGATTATTTTCTAAAATAGCAGGGTATAAGCTTTGTGATCAACATCACCAACTTATTCAGCTAGCATGCTAGCCAAACCTTCTGACCTTATTACTTCACAAGTAGAAATACGAAGCCCATATAAGCTCTTACAAAAACACTGTCACAATGGTTTCCGTTAAACACTGTAATTTTGTTTAAAAAAAAATAAAGTACAGATAGTGTGGATATGAAATAGTTGACATCATGAAGAAGTACTATTCATGCTAACAGTTAGCCACATACCTGCTAGCTGTTTTCGCAGAAGCAGGGCCGATTGCTCAGTCATTTTATTTCAACTAATGTTAACAAAATAAATTTTGTTTCTCCAACAAAAAAAGCACGAGGTAAAGTCACCGAAATCAAAGTTGGTAGACACGCAGCACTTGGACAGTGTGTGTGTATTTGAAATCTACTTCACATGCGCTCGCGCCGGGAACTAAACTGATGTTATACAGGCACTGACCTCAAGGATGTGTGTCACTAGGTAGGTGCTTACTACAGCAGTATTAGGCATCTCTTTAAGGGAGCGTTTTGAGTTATCATGGCAAAAATGCTGCAGCACCCATGACGCCCAAAATCGCTGTCTAAGTAGGTAGGTCACTAGGTTTTGAGACACAGCCAAAGCAAAAGGGTCCTAACAACAGACACACTTTTGTTGATTATTCTGCTCGAATGTTTTGATTTTAACAATACCATACTGATTTTTTTTCTTATTTATTAATATTTTGTTGTAGTGGCAGTCCATATGAGGTGTACGTCCTCAGTGCATTTTCCATTTTGAAAACGTTATTTTAAAGAAGTATTTTGCAAGATGTAAACATGGATGTAAATAACACTGGTCCAGATCACTTCCTGTTTCAATTTTTTAACACTACATAAAAGCTGGGATAAAATACAACCAACAGAACATATAAAACTGAATCAAAAAGTTAAACAAACATCTTTAAGATTTTTTCGTTACATGTGAAATAGCTAAAGAAAACAGTTACAAACTGAAACAGGAAGTGTTTCTGGACCAGTGTTGTTTACATCTTGCAAAATGGTCATTATACAGAATTAAAATCTCTGTTAATAAAATGCATTGCACTCAAATAAAATGCTTCTCTAAATAATGTTTTAAAGTTTTTAATTCCATAACTTTAAAATGTTTTTGATTTCCTTTTAAGATGTCGACGGCTAAAGTGTTGTTATTGTTATCTAAAACTATTTAAAATAGTTTTCATTAATTTATAATACTTGTCCATGATAAATAGACTACCTACGATAATTGTTATATTTATAAATGTTGTGCAATGTTATTTTTGTATTG